AAGAGAAAAAAGAAAAAAGAAAGAGAAGAGAAGGTGGCGGAGGCGGTCGACTTTATCGCCGACGGCGGAGCACTCGGGCTTGAAGATTTTGGCTTCGGTGACGGATTTGTTGATCTGGTCGGATAATAAGATAGGGAAGGATAAAACCTCTTCGAGACGTTGTTCTTGTGGAGTATTCTCCGCCATTGTTTCTGAATCAAGAAACTGTTTGTTGAAATGTTCTAAGCACAGTTAGTAGTAATTATTAGTGTTTTAATTAACACTTAAAACACCACTCACTTAAGTAATTAAACTGTTAAACATGGGCTAAATTTTATTTTGCACCCGTGAAATATAGTTATTTTCACTTTGCACCCTCCAAAACAATTACCACACTTTTCACCTTTAAAACACAATAAACTATACATAATGCACCCCGAATGCATTTTTAAAGCTAATGAACGTATTTAATATTTGTAATTGTATCCTTTTAGGATGGCATACGTCAACTTTTTTTAATATATTCATCAATTCCTTTGTTACTACAAAGTGCAAAAACGAAAATACATCTCATCAATATATTAAAAAAAAATTACAAAAAAAAGTGCTTTGAAAAAGAAAAAAGAATCCTTCACCTATTTCGTTATTAAGTTATTTGAAAATTATATTTTCTTCCAAAGTTTTCTACCAAACATGTTCACTGATTACAACAAAAGATCCATCAATCGAATAATTTAGTGAATTTATTTTTATTAAACTATAGTTTTTTAATAATTTATTGTGATTTTTACACTCGAATAAGCCGGAGGTAGAAAAAAATTAATTAATTTATTATTCTGCAGCATGGAAATAAATAATAAAATAATAAAGAATTAAAATTACCCTTTTTTTAAATATTTAATTGGGTATAAATTGTAAATGATTTAATATATTTCAAGCAAAGAGCTTACTCCAATAACTACTTTACGAATATCATGCAACCTATAAGTAATTCACAACTGCAATTTGCCCCTATCAAATTATTCAATGTGTCAAAAATCATTTAATTTATTTTGTAAAAAAATATGGTTGGTCAAGAATTTTGCCTATCAAATTATTCAATGTGTCAAAAATCATTTAATTTATTTTGTAAAAAATTATGGTTGGTCAAGAATTTTGTCATTAACTTTGGGTCTTGTTACAGACTTGAACCTCGATCAAGTATTGCTAAAATGCGACTAGAAACGAATTGACGTCAATGTTAAGAATATTACATTGAATAGATTTTTTTATGATTAAAAATGAATAAAACTACCCCTATTTATACAAATTCACCTCCTCAATAAATGGTGGTGATCATTTTGATATAATTACTATGATTAACTCCTACGATCTTGTAGAATCATCTAAGAATCTCTTCAAAATTGGGTCTAATTAGAGTTCTTCCAAAATAATATCTTTAAAACTTCTAAAAAATGGAGTTGATAAATTAAGATGGTATATATGTTAGCTTTTGAATTTTAAATAAAGTACCCTACATTTACTAAAATCCGTTCTACATTTATCACCACCCTTTTAATAGCCAATAAAAACTCTTCGTGTTGAATTAAAATATTGAACTAAAAATTCCAATCCCATGATTTTCACACAACATAGTAGTAATTGGCCTGAAATCATTTCCTTAACATACAAAAGAACAAAGTGACGACAAGCCTATACAAAGAATTGCATCAAGCAGTATGATCAATCAAACTTTCGATTTTCCTTGAAGAAAAAAGTTGCTATAATACATCATTACCGATAAATAAATAATATGCTTGAAATCGTAAAATGAAGAACTATGTTCCAGATGATTCCGGAAGCTTCTCCTTCGGAACTGAGGGGCTTCCGAGGTTTACATCTCCAATGCCTTTAGGTGGGCCGATGCTGCATCGAGGCGTGTTATGCAATTCAATAGCATCTTTAATTTTCTGAAACTGCATGAAAAAAAAATTGAAAATAATGTCGAAGTAGGGACATTTAATCGTAGTTTTAAATTAAAAATAGATAAATAAATAAAAAAAAAAAAATTGGCTACGTACTTTGGCAAGCGAACAAGAGAAGGATTCGAGCTGTCCATCGGCTCCACGGTAGAAGTGGAAAAACGGAAGAACCTTAACATTCAAACTCTTGCACATCGACTTGTTTTCGTCGAAGTTCACTTTTAGAAACAATATATCTGGATGCTCTGCTAATGTTCTGCAAAGCTGATACCGAATACACGCAACAAATAAACACGCGATTATTTAAGCATCCATAAATAAACGGCACTCGATTTTCTTGAAAGCACGAAATAAACCCAACACCCACTCGGAAAAAAAAAATCGGAAATCAAGATTAAGATAAGAAGCATGTTTATTTATTTGTGTAGTAGTAGAATAAATCGATTACCTTGGGAAATAGTGCTCGGCAAGAAGCGCACCAAGTACCGTAAAACTCGACAAGAACGAGTCTTTCTCCAGCCTCGCTCAAGGCATTCAAGAATTCTTGAGTGGAGTGGATATCAATCATGTTTGGACCGTCGTATCTCTCCCACCATTTGGGCTGCTCTGTTTCGGTTACAGTTGCATGTATCTGATATGCAATCACCACCAAAATCGACGTCATTAACTTGAGTTAAGAAGTATTTCATTCTCACGTACATTTTGAGTGGATAAGAAATTTATCAAAAACACAATAGTGCACATTTTTCACAAACACGAGGAATTTTTTTACCGAATTTAAAGACTTTTAAATCAGACAGAGTACATAGTTGATAGTTCCTCAACAAGTGATAAAATCCAACGACAATGTGTGAGTTGAGACATCCAAAGTCTTAAAAGACCTCAAACTGGAACTTACATAAGAATTGTGAAGCTTATCGAATCAAACCGCTAAGAACAAATAGTGAAGGTTAAAATTACACGATCCACCTATAATTTAGCTATTCGTTTTACTTGAATTGAATAGTAGAACATTAAATATATATTGCCCTTGCAAGTTTTGTAAAATGCATCGGAAAACATTATGAGTGAGACTTTTTACTTCGAACCCCTTTTGAGCACACGAGATGGATTGTTACTCTAGGGCCCAATACACAAATGTCCAAATCTCAATCAGTCGACACAAAAATAGTATCTTTAGCAAGATTACTGATAAACATATGATCATTCTATAATCTATCATATAATTTGATGTAAATTATGACCGAAAGATGTAAAAAAAAAAAAAAATCATAGGCAAAAGACAGAAAACAGTTTTTTTTTTTTTTTGAAGAACGAATACCCGATGAGGGTGGGGGTTGGGCTGGACCCCCAACGTGTCGATAGATCAAAAACCAATGAGTACATAAAGAGTCTAACGCAATATGCTACACCCCGAAAAAATCGCTAAAAACAGCCCGAAAGACAAAACAGTTGAAAACCTGGAATCGAGTTCTGAAAAATCAACTAATGCCCAGGCAGCAGACACCACATATTCGAAAAATTTGACCAACATTTCGACGATTAAGCGACTGTAGTTAGTGCCCAAGTACATCCAGAAAACTTAACTACAACAATTCATAAAAAAAAACTCTACTACACAAATCAAACACTTGAAACAAAAATAAAATCGAGGCCCGTGACAAGAAATACACTAAAATTCAAGAAAGTTGGAATCTTTACCTTAAAAGACCCGAATTGCTTGCGGGTTCTGTAGGAAATCGGAGAAACAAAGCTAGAACCAACAGAGTCTGAAACAGAAACCACCCCTCTGCGGCGAGCTCCTTGATTTGGGGGAAGAACACGTTGACAAGAATTCAAAGACGAAGAAAAAGTAGTCGACATCGAAGAATAAAACCTCTGAGAATTGCAGGCGAATTTAATCACATCAGCCATTTCACAAATTTTGTTTACAAAAGAAAAAACTCAAAACCCCTTTGTGGCTGTATGTAGGTTTTGCAATTGGGTTTCTTTAGAAAGATTTTTTTTTTTCTGGGTTGAACAGTCCCGATATATATATATATATATATACACATCAGCTGGAACAAGAAAGCAAAACCGAAAACGAAAACCAACTCGGAATTTTCGTGGGAAAACCAACTCTGAATTTTAGGGCTAGGAATTTTCTTGATGTTTCACACAGTCACACACACTCTGTGCGTGTAGGTGGGTGGGTCGGGGAAAGATACAGAGGAGGAGTGTAAACAAAGAGAAGAGACTGCGATTGGAAAATGTGTGATGGAGAATGCAGCTCAGGTAATCCAAAATTAGGAGGTTGTCTAAAACAGGAAAAAGTATATTTATTTGGTTTAATGACTTAAATCAATTTTCAGAAGAAAATAAAACTCATGAAATAATAATCAATTTTGAGATAATTTTCTCTCACTAGAATCGAACCTGATTTTGACATATTTTTATTTCAATTTTAGCAAAATTCGGAACATGAAAATTGTAGTCCTTTGGGTTAGCTTTCTAATCCAACTTAAATCAGGTAAATTGAATGTTGTGTGTTCTGTACACGTGATACCTCGGGCTTGGTAATACG